ATCAAGGTTTTAGCTATAAAAGAGCGTATTAAGTCTAAGGAAATACATGTAGAACATATACGTACTGGAGAGATGATTGCTGATCCTTTGACAAAAGGCATGCCACCAAGTTTGTTCAAGGATCATATAACCAATATGGGGTTATGCCCAGTTAAGTCACTTATTAGGTGATTTATTATTGTAATACATAATGTATTGACAATAAAATTCTTATTTCTATCTGTATTCTATTTTATTGGTATACATATATGTGAGAGAATGACAGATAATACTTGTTAAATGGACCCACTATAAGCATTCAGGCTTATTTATGCATATAAAATACCACAGTGAATGTGATAAGAAAATCAAATTGTAATGCATGGCAGGAAACACGTTAAAATAATAAATAACCTCCATAATTCTTCTTTTTCTTATTCATTCTTGAATAAATGTAGCCAATGAACTAAAGGTTTAGAAAAATCATTATGTGCACAGTATGTTCATTCTAAACCATTAAAAGTTAATATATTGACCAAGTGGGAGAATGTAAGAATATTGTGGTCTATATATATTACGTATATAATATTATATATTATATTAAGTTATTTAATGGATAAATTATTTATAATTTTATTGGCTATTTTATTGTGGTAATTAAAGAGTTATAACTATTGAATAAAAGGACATGTCTCTAGAGTTATTTTGAAGGGTTGTAACTTTATTGAAAGGTTAATTAAAGAGTTGTGACTCTATCGTAAGAGTTGTTTCCTTGATGGGAGGAATACTATAAATTAACCATTTAGTTGGGGTCCCTAATCTATGCAATTTATGCAAACCCGTCTCCATACTGTAAATTGTTTTAGATTAGAAGTACCCACAACAAAGTTCTTGAATTCTTATTCAGACGTTGGCTATGGCTGGAGGTATGTAACTGAATCCTAATTATGACGCTTCCGTGTTTTATGTATTAAATAACTTAGATTTATATATTACTTTTTTAACGAAATACATATTTATAACATGGGTTAGAAAAAGTTTTGGGGTTTTCTTTCCTCCTTTTCGTCTTATTATTTATTTAATTTCAATTTCTTAGAATAATACTAACACTAATTAATTATCTTGAATTAACTAGACTTGGTTAATTTTCAAAAGTTAATTGTAAGTTTAGTTTCTTTAAGGTGGTGTTTGCAAAAGCTTATTTAAAAGCATAAGTTAGTGAATGTGAGTTAACTTGGAATTAAGTGTTTATTTCTAAAAGTTTGGGGTGTTTGTAAATTAGCTGAAAAATAAACTAAATTATAAAAAGTAGGTTAATGGGTGTTTTTAAAATTATAGCTTAAAACAACTTATTTTAAGAGAAACAAAAGCAAAAGCTTATTTTGTAAACGCCTAAAAACTGATTGTGCATGAAAAAAACTTATAATTTATTTTTACAAGCATTTGTAAACACCACATGAATATTTATTTAAAAAAAAAAAGATCACAATGCAAAAATAAATAAATAAACATTAATTAATTGTTAGATATATTAAATGAATTGCAATGAAGAAATTACAGGTGTGTGATGGAGTTGTGCTCATAAACTCATACAGTGACAAGTAGAAAGAATCCTTATATTATTAGATTATAATTAATTGATTTATGTAAATAGCCCGACAGATAGGAGGTTTGTATCTATGTCGTAGCGGTCCAATACACAATACGTGCGTGGTCCATAACATTATCCCTCAATAAAATAAAATATATATATATATATATATATATATATATATATATATATATATATATATATATATATATATATATTATCGGGCGGAAAAAAAGGGGAATGGAGGATTATAACGATATAATCCGTTGGCATGCATGCTTTGAATTTACATACAGGAACTTTAAATTTGAGAAGAAAATGAGGAGTTAGGCCTCGTTAATTCAATGTAACGCAAACTATCTTGCTCCAGCCGCTAGATCATCTCTTGCGGTTCACGATAATAGCTAACATATTTTCTGAAAATTAAATACGTGTCGATACATATTCATGATACTTTACTTGTAAATTAAAGAGGACGATAAAAACCTTCAACAACTTTCCCGAAAGAGAGATATATTCATTCAATTGATGTTGGGTCTAACTAATTTCCCCTTATATATTATCTACTAATTTATTAAATAGGGTAAATTACACCCACATCCCTGTGGTATGCTTAAATAAT